AGAGTGAGTTGATGTAGCCCTGATCAAGTAGCCAGTGGTGGCGACTACTCCAAACTCTGAACAGACACGAGGTTTTTGCATCAAGCCACACTTGACAGCTGTAATCTCAGCAGTTCCATTTAGCTTTACTCTCTTCATAAAGCTAAATTGCAAGGATTTCATTTAGATAATTACCATTGTCTTGCTACCATGGAATATCTCCTGTTCATTCTCATTTTGGGATGAAAGGCTTAATGGAAAAATGAACAGAGTGTTTTGAGGGTTGCTTTGGAATTTTTCCCTCTAATTCTGCCTCCCTATTCCTCTTATCCTTCCTGTATTCTGAAGAAATTATTTCCAGGCTAATTAGAAAGGGCTCAAATCAAAAAGTACCAGATCCAAACCATCACACTTTCATGACAGTTCAGCGCTGGATGCAACTTGGCTTCTCAGACTTGTGCATAAGTGATCCTCTGCCAACTGCCAAAACAGAACTCTGGGGGGAAATAACAGACTGGAGTAGAAACTTTAGAAAGTAGGATCAAATAGGATACATCAAATTTCTGTAGCAGAGTGGGTTTGGGTTATTTTAATTTGAAAAGTATTTCAGTGATTATCCTATTTCTACAGATGCAGACAAAGAGGTGTTTCTTACACGAAAGAGAAACACAAACTGGGCTTCCCCCAGGCAGCAGTCCTTGGAGATAGCCTCCTTTGGACATGGGAGCAGCTAAGAAAAGTGGTCAGTGCCAATCAGAAGTACAGATATGGTCACATAGGAAGCAGAAAACATGAGATTCCAGCTCATTACAGAAGGACCTGGAGAACCCAAGCCAAATGCCAAAGCACCTGGGTGCAAATATCTTCCTCCCTCACACAGGAGAGATGAGAGAGAGGAAAACACAGTATAAGAACATCTATACAAAAACTGCAGGAAAAGTTAGTAATTCCTTCTTAGTGACATAAGCTTCTACAGTCCCAAACTAGCAAACTAGTCAGAGCTGATGCAGAGACTCTCACAGACTTCAGATATCTTTAAACCAAGCTGTCTTGATAGAATGTCATAAAAAACCATCAGTTTCCCAATGCATTCACTTGTGTTCAGCTCTAAAGTTACAACCTGTGACCTCTATTTCATAATAATTACTTAAGAAAAATTACTCAGTGTCAAATGAAAGCTTAAGGAAAAGTTAAGGGTTTTCCCTAGAAACATCAATCTACTGAAGCAGCATTCCTAAAGGAAACTGCCTCATGTTGAAAAGTTGCTGCACTGCTGATTTGTTTTTCTGTAATGAAGACCTAGCTCAGCAGATATAAGATTTATTGGTCAGTTTATCATCTAATGCGAAAATGAAGGATGAGAAATTAGAATCAGGAATATGCTGCACATATTGGCTCATTTAAACCCACCATTGTAATTAGCACTTGTATGAAATAGAGCAAAGAAACTGGAACATCAAGAATACTTTCTCATCACATATTCTTGGAGTTTCTATCTTTGAAACCTTTCTCAAAATACTTACATGCAGATTTAATACAGATCACTATATATAACACATAAAGCCAGGCTAGTGACTTTTAACTGATGGTAGAACTTTGACTTCTGAATGATCAATGGCTAATAAAATCATCTTTGCTTCATCAGCCAAGATAAAAAGAGTAAAAGCCCCGAAGATGTTAAAGCTGACATCCTACACAGCACTGTGATGGGACTTGTTAAGAAGTCCCTTTATAAGGACTGAAGAAAATAGGGAAGGGAGAGTCTTCAAGTGTCCTACTCACTGTCCCATTGACAAGGAAGTATTTGGATGTTCTGGGCAAGGAACTGTAATAGAAAGATGGAGCAGAGATTTTAAAAAGTGTTTTTTCAGGGAGCCAGAAGTCACAGAATCAAGCAGGGTAAAAGAAGAACTCGCTTTCTTCAGATCCCCTCAGTGTACTGCCCTGGACCACAGCTGCAGTTGGTGGTTGGACTTGTTTCATTCCCTGTTATAAACATCCTCCCTGGATCCTCTGGTGCAGTAAATCACTTCGAGTTTTAAGTGGGAGGAATGACAAAACTAATCTCCTGTTCTCTCATGCAGTCACAGCACTACTCTCCCTACAGCCACATCAGAATCCTCCAAACAGTTGCCATGTAATTATGGGAAGCTCATCAGCAATTTTGGTGAGCTATGTTCCCACCCTACCCTCTCTTCTGGGCAAATGTGGACAACAGTAAATAATGGAATAGTTCCTCTGCAGCCATTTTCTTCTTCGAGATGTTACAAAACAGCTTCTGGTGGTGAGTCCCTGCCACCCCATATGGTACCCACTCGCACCATGGAATGGCAGATTCCCACCCAGAAGAGATTCCTTATGCTCTCTGATCTCCATCTCTTGAGTGGTCTGAAACAAGTACTTCAAAACAACCAGGAATTATTTCAAAACCAGGTACAAAAATACTGCTCCTGGTTTCCAAATACCAGTTTGTACTGACACTTTGGCAACCAATGAACTCTCTTTATTTACATGACTTTGTTTTCAGACCTGGCACCCTGAACTATCAGAGCAGATCAAGAATAGCAATGGGCATTTTGCCTTTAAAGTGAAACAACATCCTGAAGCCTGTACTTTGTTTCCAAGGACTCTAAAACCTGTCCCATGTTGGCCCCAGGTTTGGCACATCATTAAACTTGGTCTTAGCTGGAGCACCAGAAGCTCTAAGGAGAATTCTGAGGATCTCTTTTCTTTAGGACTATTACCAGGTGTTTAATGAGGCAAAGGTGTGACCCTATGATGTGTAATAGAGACATTTTATGAATTGCAATGAAGCTGAAAGCTGTAACATAGATGGGATTACATTAGGAACCTCACCTGCGTTGCAGATACACCAACACTGGCTCTCCAAGGCAAAGCTGTCACATAAGCACTCAACAGATAAATAGGAAAGTTTACTCTACACCCCTCAAAGGCCTCCATTTTAAAAAAGCATCTTTAAAATATGCTCTGTACAGCTGTTTTCTTACCATTTGGCTTGTGCTGCACATCTGGCGGAAGCTGGTCAGGAACATACCACTGATAGTCTGGCTGCACAGAACAATAAAACATTATTGCAGCAATATGGACTTCACAGACACTTCAAACAAAGAACAGGGACATGATAAAAATATAATTGTGCTGGGAAGCTTTTTACTACTCATACAAAAGTAGTTTACAAAAACCCTTGTATTTAGCTTTCTACTTCCATTGATCCAAGATCTTCAGCTGGCTTCCTTTTCCATGGCTTGTGGTTTAGATGCTGCACCCATAGAAACATTGGTCTAAACCTTTCTAGATCCCACAAATCAAGAGAAACATGAACAGAACCAAATCAGATTTTAAAAGGGCTAAGGAATGAGGTGCAGCAGAAGATATTAGCAGGCATCTCTGTACTAGAGAACCCCAGAAAACATGGTACATCTGACAAGTGAAAGCTGCTCCAGCTTGAATACACCTGTAACATCTGAATATATCTGTAACATCTGTAACGTGCTGCAGTGTGACAGGAATTTACCATTGGATAAGGTTCTTTCCCTCCTCCCTTTCCTCACAGGTTAGCACCACCGTAACCATAACATTAGCTGTTATCAAATAACTTATTGAAAACACAGTGAGATAGAAAAATTTCCCATCTTTCTTATAAGACGAAGTATTGGGAAGGTTACATCCATGCATACATAGTTTTGTCCAGGGGAATCCTGGAAGAAAGAAATAGTGCATTACAGTTCATACCACACACTGTGGTAAATGAGTAGCAAATTACCACTAGAGAAAACAACTTTGGGGCCAGACATTCCAGCTGAAGCTGTATTAGGTTGTCTGTCTGGTGTCAGTAGTACCTGCAAGTTTGTCAGATTCCAGGCAATTACTGCTTCAAATTAGTTACACTGGAAAAATAATTCTTGTCCTGCAGAAATTGCTCTGACAAAATCCCGAGTAGTCCCAAGGGGAATCTTACAGATTTCAGTTTGTAGGTACAAATTTCATAGACTTCTAAAGAACTTTTGCCTAAATTAAGATGACAGGACGAAGCTGCAGGTACCGAAAACAGATTTACCTTTTCTGTTATGCTGTTACTTGTACTTACATAGCAGCAATCACTCTCTACACTGTCAGGAAAACAGGAGCTATTGTCACTTAAATTATACTATTCACAGGAGTTTTTAATGAATTCTGTGCTTGTGGGCAAACAAAATAGGCTTTGATACATAGCAAAACTGCATTGCTTCAGGCACAGGTAGTTTTTCCACTAATGACTTACACTTATTTGCATTGCTTTTTTTGGTTTTCTGGTGAATTTTCTGTTCTCTGATCAGCTCTTCTCTTTCATATTTACACCACACAAACTTGAATGAATTTCAGAAATGTGTATTTCATGTCAGACTAAACAACACGTCATGTCAAAAAGGCACAGAAAGGTACAAGATACAAAAAGAAGGAAAAAGCCAAAAGCACAGACTAAAAGACTATGTATCAGGACACTCATTAAATTCTAACACCTTTCTTCATTGCTAACGAATTGCTCAGGGAGGTACCCAAAGCTCAGAGCAGCAGCACTGCACTCACACAGGCAGAGAATTTCAATAGAAGGCAGAATGGAACTGGGAATTACAAAGCAACCAGTCAACTGACCCCAGCACTCCGGCAGGAATGGCAGAGTTGTAAACCCAGTGATCCCTCACAGAATTAGAAACCCAGATGATGAAAGTTCAGGGAGAAGAGCCAAAATAATCTGGGCTAGTGGCCAAATTGCAGTGAAAAACATACTGCAATACTTCCAGCTTTGATAAATAGGCAGATAAGCACACTCCTGAAGCACAGAAATTGCCTGTCTGACCACAGCTTTTCCATCAGATTTCTATAGTCTGAAAGCCTCACATGCATCCTGCAAAAATTAGGCTATAATTTCTCAAATAATGAGCATCTTTCCATATGTGACAGCTTTACAGCCAGGAACAGATATTGTGGATATAAAATTACATTCACCATGTTTAAATACATTCTCACTAGACTAGAACAAGCACAGCCCACATAGATGACCCAAAACACTTCAAAATATCATTCTTTGAAGCAGCATTTTCCTTGAAGTAGATAACTCCCCCTCACATAACCTGTCCCAGTGCAAAGTTATTCTTTTACATGCTAAGGAAGACAGGACCCTGTTGTGTGCCAGGAAAAAAAGGCAAATTTCCCACTGTGTTAGTTACATTCAGATATACCTTCCACTTCTGCCTTGTTTTTACTTTTTGTTAAAGGCTCAACTGGGCTCCAGAGAGCAGATCCATATTTCTGAGTGTGGGTAACTATACAGCCAGGAAGGGCTCTGAATGTGTGTTTTGGAAGTAAATTAATCTAAGAAATCAGCAAAACTCCTTATTTTTTAATTAAGGAATGACCACCAGTGTCATTGGAAAGAAATGTATGAAAATCCCCTTTTTCTTCTTAGTGGCATTATAGATAAACAATATGTGCCAAAGTAAATTCAAAATACGTAAGGATATTTACTTAAAGTATAACTCATCAGCCATTTGTTCAAATTGCTGCAATTTGTCCTCTTTGTGCACAGATCTCTCATGCTTTGATTTGCACATGGCAGCACTCTGGGCAGTTCAGTATCGAAACATGGGAACAGTAAGGAAGAAAAGAACAGAACTAAGAGGAAAAAAGTCAGCATTTTGTGGTAGCTAGTCAGGGAAGAGAGACAGTACAGAGATCACCAAGGCTGTTCCAGAACTAGGGCTAATTCTAAAACCAGCACAAAATCTTGATCTGGCACCAGCAACAAACTAGGAAACCACAGATTCAGTTACTGGTGAGGGTGGCACTGTGGTAGCACCAGTTATGCCACTGTGGTCACCATGCTGTGAGAAATCAGTGCTCCTGTGACACAGGAGGCACTGGGAACCTTACCGAGCACTGTTGCTGCTCATGTGCCCTGTGAGGTGCTGGAGGCACTCGAGGATCTCGATAGTGAAGAACCATCCCACAGCTCCCATAGTTAACACACGGGGAGAGGAAGAGTGGAGGTGGGTAACTGTGCCTCTCAGACTGCACTGGGAGCTCTTTTGTCTGTCAAAAAATAAGAGCAGGAAGAAATGCATTAGCAGCAGGATAAAACAGCCACAACATACTCATGTACAAATCCATCTGTAGTAAGCAGTGGGGAAGAAATCCTCCTCTCTCAGCATGGATCACAATGCTGCTTGTTTAGCCCCTTCAGACTATTTATCATTTAAAAAATTATTTAGGAAAGCTGACTTGTGCCACACCAGAGTCTTGACATGTTTTATGTGAGAAAAATATTGGTTTCAAGATACACATTTCTGGGTGTTTTCTATATTCAAGAACTGTTCTATATTTTCATTACACAAACTAGCTTTCAATAGTTTGAAGCAGAACTACATGGACAGTCACTTGTATGGCAAGAAAAGTAAATAACTTTGGTATAGGACCAAAGTTGATGGCCTTGAGATTTGGGTCTGCCTTTCCTTAGACCCTCTGCATCCCAGCAGAGTCAACAGGAATTTGCCTAAGGACAGAGAAAGGAGGGGTAAAAGACGATTAACATTCTATGAGTCACAACTAAATAATTTCACTTAAGAAAACAAAATAATAAATATTTTATATGGTTCCTCTCATCTTTAAAATCCTTCACAAGCTCTGTTTAATCAAATGCTGAGGCAGAAAGAGGCAAACAACATCTCCAGTTGATGCACTGCAAGGACAGTCAAGTTGTACATACACACTACACAGCACTTGTACAGTCCCTTCAGGTGTGTTCTGCACGTGCAGTGCTGTTGACACTTCTCCTGCTCCTGTGCAGCTGGGAAGGAGTAGGAAAGGCCTTTTAGCCCTTATTTTATACCTCCCATCTTCACTTCCACTGCTGCAAAAGGTTCTCACAGTGTCCATTGACCAGTTGGGGCTGTGCAAGAAATTTAGATTTTACAGTCTCTAGACAATGCAAAAATATATAGGAAGGAGGTGTCTTGGAGTATGGTCTTCTACAAAAAAAACTTCTTTACCTCATTGAACCACACAGGAGTGGGCTGGTGAGTGGGGGAAATATCCTAGAAGTTACTGCTAAAGGATTGGTCCGAGGTATTTCTACATACCTGGGATGCCTTGAGTGGCAAATCATGGCATTCCCTTCTGGCATTGTATTTTGACATTTGCACAAAATACTTCCAAGTATCAATAAAAGCTCTGACAAGTCTGGGGCCTTACTGCAGCAGCCACCAGCATCAGCCAGGATGACCAACCTGCACTCAGCTCCTGCTGAGGCCAATGGGAATGAGGGGCACTGGACAGCAACTTGCCTCTGATACTACTACAAGACCCTACCAGCATTGGGTTGGTTGAGAATAAGTCAATCCTGAAGTTTCTGTTTCACAACAATGTTGGGGAGAACAATAAATCATCACAGAACTTTTTGGTAATTGGCCATTGTTTTAAAACATTGCACAATTTTGTCAGGACAGGAAACCCCAAAATTTCATCATTTTTTAATGGGGATTGAGAAAGTTCAGAGAGTTTTACATGCCATGACTTTACTATGGCTTCCTACTGACACTACTTTGAAGAGATAAAAAGGATGTTGCAAGAAAAAATGACTGCAGCGGCTGCTCAGCTAATTTGTGTAGAGACCATTTTTTTCCTCAGTGATATTAACATGACTCTGTAATTCAATTGCAGAGGTCAGGATTAACTACAGAAGCTCTTTATTTCAGAGGTTGGTTTGATGTTACAACTCTTATATCAAGTGCCAGTGAAACAATCAAAGTCCCCTGGACTTGTTTTTGGCCGGCCTCCCTGCCTCCATTTTAAGATATGTTTGAGAAGGTTTTGCAATAGATACTCCCCTCATCTACTTATTTTGAAAGTCTTCTCTAATCGTTTCTCATCTTCTTACTGCATTACTTCAGAATGATTTCATCCCAGGTGGTGACCTCATATAAAACCCAATGTCAATTAATGGAAGCCAGAAAGCCTTGGGTTGTGTGGAAAGTGAGAAAATAAAAATAAAATACACATGTGCTGGCAGTGGGAACTTTCTTTTGACTCATACCTGAGAGCTGAGTTTATTCAGTTGAGACTGTAATCTCTCGTTAAGTTTCTGCAATGCTTCCTTCTCCTCATTAAGTCTTTCTCTGTCAGATCTCTCCTTTCTGAAGTCTTCCTCGTATATTTGTACCTGCAATCAGTATGAACAGTATGTGAACTTCATCCACTTTGTTGTCTGGTTGCTTTCTAAACACTGCCCAAGCAGCAGGGTGCATTCCAAAGGGATCCCTCCTCTGTACAATACTACAACCAAAAGGTTCCCTTGGTTTTTCCTATGACCAACACAAACCTACAAGCAATGGGTGTTCTCCAATGGCACCTGTCAATCAAAGCAGTCCACAGCTTCACTACTTTTAGGGCCTTGTAACATAAAAAGCTAACTGGTAAATATCAAGTTTCAAATATTATCAACAAGAGAACAAATACTAATGCCATTGATCTCTTTAAGGGATTAACAATATGAGAACAAACATTTTACCAACATTTTTTCCAGTTTTCTCTTCAATTATAAGCATTTTTAACTTCCTCCTTTATCTCAGGTGCAAGCAGGTAGCAAAGAATCTGTATCTGCCCCAGTGTAGAAGCAGAGGGGAATGTAATGTACTCAATTCAAAATGGAAATGCAGATGTTTGACCCTGTTCCCAGAAGATAAGCTGCTTTTCAAATGCTGAAGGATGCAATGGCTTAGCTCTTTTTATGTTGCCAGGAATCATAGAGCTTCATCCTGTTAAAAAAATATCTGACCACCCCAGGCACAGGCAGTGAGCACATGAATTCAGAAGCAAAACGAAGTCCTTAAATTATTTGGTGTTAAGCTGACTGGCTTAATTCTTTAGCTAATGGGCAGACATCCACCTGGTTGTCTGGAGGTTGGTGGCACTTCGTCTGACAAATAACAGAAAAGGCATGTTTGGGTGGGAACCACCACCAGAACTTTCAGAAGTCCTTTCATGTCCCCTTGGTTGCTCACTAGAGCCTGCTGACAGTCTGTTTCCAAAGAGCTTGCTTGCTGTGGCTCATGCCCTGCCCATCGGACAGATCCAGTTCTCTTGCTGCTGGCAGCAGCACTGTGACTTCACAGAAGGACTAAAGAAATGTTAATACCTCAGGGGAAGAAAAAAGTGAACACAGGGCACTGTAAACTACTTTCACAACTCGCCTGTTGCAGCTAATTTTTGCAAGGGGTTGTTCTGAAGCCGATGTTCCCCCACTAGACATCAGCCCCTTCCTGAATAACACCGTGTACTCGGCCCCACAGCCCTTGCCTGGAGCATGCTGAGTGTCCCTGCCTCTCCGAAGCAGAGGCAGAGCTGTGGCTTGCAGAAATCCCTGCATCCCTTGTCCATCTACACACTTCTTCCCTCAGCATTTCCACATTGCTTCTGTCCTGATTCCCTTTTTGCTGTCCCACCTCTCTTCACTCCCCAGCTATACAATCTGCTGAAGCTACAAAACTGACACTTTGGCAGTTTTGCCATACATTCTGCTGCCCTGAGAAAGAGGAGGACACCTCCCAAGGAATGAATGCCTTCACCTCTTCTGTCATGACCAGGGAGGGGCTGATGACAGCCAAGCTTTGGTGAGACTTTGTCACGTCACTGTTAGTCCCAGGAGTCCTTCCTCCATACAGTTAGAGCCTTCTGCTCCATTTTGTGTAGAAGGAAATCTGGACTCACTGTACTGATTTATACAACTAGAAAAATACATTAATAAAATGGATTCCTCATGAGAATTCTGGAAAAAAAAAATTGGTTTACTCTATTTTATTGTGTAGAATGAAATAACTCATTATTGTACAATCAAGTGCAGGATTTTGTTCTCCAGCATGTGGCAAGCATTACATTAGAGAGCAAAATCTGGCTCTGCTGTCAAACGTGACAGAAACAAGTATTTTATTCACATTGAACAAAATTCCCATTCTGATCACATCCTTTTGTGTGTCAATAACGTTAACCCTAACACTGTCCAGAACAACAGACCTAAAATGTAGTAGTATCTGAAAACTATAATGTTTTTAAACAGATTCTTTCATGTGGAAAGAAAGAGAGTGCACAAAGCACTTGAATTGCTCAGAACAAAGATTAGAAAAATAAACACACATCTGTAGTGACTGGGATGTAGGTTATGGATGCAAAGGTTTTGCCTCACACTTTGAAAAACTGCAATGCCGATACTCTAGTTGTCCAAAAGTCCTGTCCACTCAACTGTCAACTTCTAGGATAAAAGGAGCAGAAGACACAACCGGCAACTCAGGAAATGTAACATTCCCTCTGGATAAAATTCAGCCCCTGAGGGCTGGCAGGACACCTTCAAGAGTCAGGAGAGCAGTTCTGCTGCCCCAAGTCCTTGCTCCAGCCCTTTGCAAGGACTTAGTTTCACCTTGTGGACACTGCTGTGATCACAGCATCTTGGGAAACATCATTTGAATGGGCTACAGCTAACCTGGCTCTTCCTTTCAAAAGCTCTGCATAGCAATTCTACTAGGCACAATTCCTGGGAGAGAAGGCCAAGTTACATTGTATGAAATCCATCCAGGCTTACTTCCAGGTGTTCTTACCTGCTGTCTCAGAACTTCAAGTTGGGTTCTCATCTCCTCAATGCTGTTCTTGTCACCCTTCTCTGGAGGAGTCTCAAGAACAGGTGAGTGCTGCTTTTTCAACACATCCACAAGGGCCTGCAATGTAAACAGCAAAACTGCAAACCAGAAATTCACTAAATGAAAATGAAGAAAGTCCTCTAAAATTATTGGAAGGGTGTTTTCTTTTCACTTGCACTTGCTTCGATTATATACACTGGATATAAACCACATACATGCATGACTAGATCCAAATTTTCAAAGATCCCACACTACATCCATGAATTTGAGACAGTGTCATTTAGGGGACTGTGCTTTTACTTATAACTGTATCAATATTTACCTATGGAAATCACCGCTGCAAATCTCATCCATAAACACCATTTCCCTGTGCAAGTTGGAATTTGGGAAAACACAGACGGGTGTTTAAACTCAGCTGAGGCCAAAACCAAAGCAAACAAAAACCCCCAAGAACATAGAAGCAATATTCAAAGATGGCCTAAAAATGTGACTACAGTAAAGTCTGACTGAAACGGTTTTTGCACTAAGCACAGATTTCTTCAAGTGGAGCAGACTAAACCCTCCGGTTTGAGGGAAGTTGTGTCGTCTATAGCGTGTCACTAGAGGGAGTTAGGAATACGCACATTGGTACCACTCCGTTCTTCAGAGAAATTCTGCCATAATTCTGTGCAGGTTTTGTTTAAATTTAACAGTATGACACAGTTCTCCCTCGCACTGGAATAATTTTTAAGCACTTTTACACCTATCTGTCTATAACCACACACTGAAACTATATATATACACTACCCTTTTTCCTCTAGCACAAATACTCACCATTCAGTACTTTTCTGTCTCTCACATAAGACATGAGCTCAGCTAACTTCACCCCTTTTAGAAGTGCAATTCCTGCTAATGATCCTCATCTCTCCCTTGCTGTCCACACTCCATTCATGCCATGTGGGAAGGAGGGAAGATAATTTGGAGGGGGAAGAGGCAGAGAGGGAAGTGGCCAAGGAAGAGAACCAGTAACTGAGGGATTAGTATTAATTACCAAAAGGCCAACAAAATACAAGCACTTTCCATGGAAGGCACAGAAGACAAAAGGAAGGTTTTTATCTGATGAGCTTCTGTCTCTAAGAATTGTGCAGAAGGGAAATTGCTATAATAGTGGCAAATCTTGTCTGCCATGTCAATACATCAATAAGGCTGAACTTCAGCATGGGAGGATGAAGATAGAGATATCTTACTGATTATCCCTCCTTCTGCCCCTTTGAGCCACTTTTTAATACCTTTTTGAGGAGGTTCTACATCACAGAATTATGGATGGAAAAAACCCCCTAAAACTCCAGAAAATTCCATCTTTAAAAGGTTAACAGTGGAGAAAAATAAGCTGAATATTATTTTTAAACTGCATTTGGAAGCAATGACATGAGATTTGAAGGATGCAAATACACAGAAAATCAGTAAATTACTGTTGGGAAAGTGTGTTCCATGAAATTGATGCTTCATTTAAAACAATAGTCTATTTACTCATCTGTCTCGCTCCAACCACATCATAAGACAGCAAAATAAAACACTGAAATAAACTGTTTAACAAACAAGACCTTGAATGAGAGTTACACTGAAGCTTTGAGCAAGTCCTGTCAATGCATTTCAGAAAGAGATCATATGTTCTGTCACGATTTTTTATTATGGCAACATTATGGGTTTGGCTTGACTTATGCACATCATGGCCCTTTAGCTTGTTAAAGCACTTAAAGTTACCCAGCAATGGTTACTGCAGTGCATTTCCTCAGGAAGTGTTTGTGGTTCACCATGAAATACAGAATTGTTAGAAAACACCCACTGCTTTATGTGATCTTTTGATTAAGCAAAATTACTTTTATTACTTTCCTTCAGTTAAAAAATGAATCCCATTTAGCTATTTAATGACTATTTTCTCAGTGAGACATATATACACATAATACTTATATGTATGAATATATATGGATACAAACAGTAAGACAGCACCAGGTCTTGTGAACAGAAGTCATTATTCTCAAACACAGAAGAGTTTTTAAACCGTGTGACTTTTATTAACCCCAGTGATTCAATAGATGCATCTGAAAGCATCTTTGGGCCATTTCCCTATTGTTCTAAGGAGGAAGTAGAAAGAGCTTAGATATGACATGTAGAGAGGTTTCACGGGAAAAGCCAAAGATTCTCTCAACTTTTGCAACTCTACTACCTGCCAAGAGCAGCATGCATGGACATTAGCTGAAGTAAGTTCTTGCTTGCTTCCCCATGACCATGAGTTTGCCACCACGAATAGGTTGTTCACCCAGGACAGAAAAGATGGGCACGTGGTAGTGTCACTGCTTGACAGCAGATATCCTAGAATTAAAGGATCTCTGGTCAGCAGTTCACTCCTGTTCCTACCTTATTGAGACGACTTATTTCACACTCATAGTGTTCTTTCTTTCTAATCATTGAGGCATTCTTCTGCTTCAGGAGCCTGTTCTCTTCCCTCACTTCATGGAGAGCTTCACTAAGGACCTCTGTTTCTTTCTGGGGTGCAAAAATACAGAGAGAGAGAGATGTTGCTGAAATGCAGATGGAAAGATTTTTCAAGAACCATTTTCACAATACCTCCTGTCTGACAGATGTGCTGCATTTTTGTTGTCCCAAACACAGCTGAGAAGGGAGGCAACAGGAAGGCAGATCACTAGTGAACCCAGATATGATAAAGTCTGTTGAAATTGTTTTGATCACTCACCATATGATGAGACAGAGACAACATACCAGACTAAATCCCTGCTCTCTGCAGTTGCACAAAGGCACGAGGCAGGCTAAGCAGATCAGAGTCCTAAAGACAATTATCCCAAACCGGCATTTCTCCCATGTACTTATAGTGCAAGGCCAGGGCTAAATCCTGGTGGAGTCCCATCAAAGACAAAACCAGATCTCAGCATCACAGTGTCTTAGTACTTTATCCACTACTGAGAGGGGTCTCAGCCTGCTCTAGAATTATCAAGCAACCAATTAAGTCTTAAAAACCCATGTTTTTTTGACCCCATTACAGATGTTGACTTCAACTTGCCCATTCCTAGTGCATAAGGCTGTATTGCTGCTTCCCCAGCAAACTACCAGGAAGATGTCCCTGCTTGCAACAGGATTTACACACTAGCCTTCCAAGACAGCATTATAAGAATTATTAGGGCAGATTTGCCAAACTGTAAGTTTGACTCTCTCATTCTATTGCTTTCAGTGTGGCTATTTGCAATTTACAGTGAAAGGAGATTAGATCCAAATGAGACCCTGCAGCAAATGGCATTGCATAAGCCATTACCCTCTCAGGGTAATGCATTCCTCACTAGCCCACTTTTGCCAGACTGGCCTTAGAACAAAGCTGTTCAGACGTGTGAAAAAGAATGGCCCATTCTACAAAAAAAAAAAAGGGAGAAAGTATTTCAAATATTCTCATGCAGCTGCTTTATGTGAATTAAAAAATGAGATCCAACAATCACACGCACAGGACACCACATGAATGCTTTTTCTTTGTGCATCAGGCCGATCTCTGTGCAGCCAGCTACCAGGCATTACAACTAAGTATTTCCAGCTTGTTCAGGTTTTTGAACCATCTGAATTCTTACATCTTATTGCTTCTTATTCAACACTGAACTAGGTGTTACGGCACCGAGACCTTCCAGTAACTAAGTTGGTCTTTGATTCCTGTGTATGGGTACATAGCCATGCCCAGGGAGAAGAAAAATAAAAAGAAGATCTCCAAACCAGTCAGTTTTCCTCTGAGGGCCATGGAGGACATAGGGACAGGTAAAGTTCTCAGCATCTGCATTATGTGAGAGCCATACCTCCAGGTATTAAAAAACTCCAATGAAACAAAATAGCTGTAAGACAGCAGCAGCATGTAATCTGTCTCAGGGTTGTTTGGTGCTGCTGCTTTTCCTAAATGGCTCAGTAGAACACCCTGAGGACTGTCACTCTGAGTAAACAAATTCGAAAGGTACTGCTCAATCAAAAATCTCCACTTTAAGCAGCTGCCTCTGCCAAGGTGTAGATCCCCTGCATCCCTGCATGACATCCAAAAAGTACAGAAATTTGGAGTAAATAGAAGCCCTTACTGGCTGAGTGCATAATTTTTAAAGAAATTGCTTATCTAAGGCTGAAGCTCCATGCAGGTTAATCTGTACCTGTAAGAAATTTTTGGATATTGTCATTTAGTTCATTATTCATGTATGTAGTAAAAAAACCCTGTGAGTATACTGCTTATCCTTACCGTTTCAAAAAGGTAGCCAGGGCTATTTTTCCCCAGCTATCACATATTGAAAGGCAGGCAGTAATATGAAGAGGAAGATGGACTGGCCTACATTGAATCCACACTCAGAGCAAATACAGGTAGTGATTCAGCAAGCACATAATGACATGGTTTGCTTTAAAACATGTAAACTGTCCTACTGGTTGAAAATCAAGTGCATGCTTAGCTAAGACCACACTGTAATGGATAAGCAGGTAAGATGAATGTTCTGCTTATGCAGATATAAGGTAAGGGCTTTGCATTTCTTTTCCTGCACAAGCTAACTCACATCTTATCTGAGCCTGGAAGTGATGCAACTGCCACTTGTTTTCAGGTTTGTTTCAAGTTACCAAGTGAATAGAGAAGCCCAACTTCAGCCATCACATCACCATCCAGAAACTCTCACAAAAGGTCATGAAGGATGTGATACCATGAAGCGGCATGAGAACAGGAAGCACCACTCTGTGGGGCTCATAAAACAGAACACAAAGTTTTGTGTATATGTTGGGCATATATATGCTGATCACTCACACTGATGGTTTTACTGTGCTGGAAGTTCAGCTTTAGGATCTAACTTTAGATGCAAAAACCTGCACAAGAGCCAGTCCTGAGAGGTGCCCAACCACTCTCCAGGTGAGGTGAACACCACTCTAGAGCAGCCGATCAGCCCAGACACTTCCAGCCTAATAACTGCACTGACTGTAGGGTCAATATTTGCAGGGAGCTGAGCCAGGTAGCACACATATAAAAGCTTATATTGTCAATACCAAAGTCTGTGTGTCTGAATTCATTCCTTCATTTATTGCCAAGCACTTTGTGTAACATCAGCAACGATGTTCCTATTCCATTTGAAATAATTGTAGCATTTTTGTTCACAAAGAAATTCACCCTGAACTGAGCAGTGAGGAGGGAAATCTCTGCAGTGTTCATATCAATCTGCTCTTTACTCCCACACACACACACACGCACATACCAGTGCTGTCTGCCAATTTCTACTGAAATGACTGTCTCTCTATACACAGTTCTCTGATCAGGCAGATCATCAGCCACTGCCTTGGATGCAATACTGAAGAGCACTCAACAGCACAGTCTCATCTCAGGGCTGTGCAGCAACCCACGCTCTGCCTTGCACAAGAAGAGAAAGACGAGAGGTTAGAGAGTGTTCAACACTGAGCACAAATGGGTGACAGAGTGCACCTCCTACCTTTTCCTGCAATGGCTTCTCTCTGCCCAGCACTTGCCACCTCTCCTCTGCTGGATGCTGCTGATGTCTCTCTTGCTCCAGTTCACTCACTCTCCTCTCTGACATGTCCAGCTTGGCTTTCATCTCTGCCAGCTGAAAAGCAAGCAACACATCGTGGTGATTGACTGGGGACTTCCAAGGTGTTTAGACAGAGGCATAAAACAGCCCCATGTTAAATGAGGAAGAGCCATTTAAATTCCTCTTCTCTTTGTGGGGGGAAAAAAAAAGCCAGATCTCAGTACTAAGCCTTCTGGAAAATATTAAGTGAGAAAATTTTCCTGATAAGCACATGAGGTCATTCTGCAAACTTCCTTTTTATAGAAGGAAATGGGAGAATAGGAGTGTCAGTCAATGAATCAACTTGGGTTTTGGAATACCAGGCAAAACTGTAAGCAGTCAGCATCATAGGAAGCTGATGGTGTCTGCAGCAATGATGCCACACAGCCACAAGCAAGGAATGAAAGCTATGCCAACTGCATCTTGGGGGGAAAAGAAAGGGAAACAGAAAGCATTTACTTACAATTTACTTTAAAACTGTTCCTGCTTATAAAAGGTAACATTCATGGAGGATTTACCTGAAAGCTCCCCCACTACAGCAAGCCCCAGGGAGCTTCCAGGCTTCACAAGCCAACCACAAGAGATGGGACAAGAACCAACAGTTACATGATGATGTGGACACCAGGCACTGCAGGCTGATCTTCAGTTCATTGTGCTCTGAAGTGTGTGTAATTTTATTACGCTGAGGAGGGTGTGAAGATCTCTGCTGCCATGTCCACACTGAGCCCTACTATTTTAGACACCCTGCTTCTCTGGTTAGTTTGTCCTACCGAAGATTGTACACACATTAGCTTCACTTTTATGTGATGAAGTTTGTTTAATCTGTGAGCTAAAGACAAAGTAAAGATGACATATTCCCTCCCCCCTCGAAGGATATTGACCATAGCTATGGCTGGTTGATGTTTAAACACAAACTTAACTGTCAGCACGTGGCAAACATATTCCAATAGAAATCATCAACATTGTTACCTGTTTTTCATAAAGCTGTTTCATACTTCTAAACTGATGATCCCATTGCTTGTTCACCTCCAGAAGCTGCAATTAGCAGGAAGTCACAGTAAATAATCTTTACTTCAACACTGTCAATACATCAAAAATAAGACTAGCATTCTGATCCTTCAGCTATGAGTATTCACAACCTCCTCATCATCTGGGCAGTTCATTCCAGAAAAAGCAAGTTTGGCGAGCTTTGCAGCCCATCTGCCAGTGCTCTGGTGTTCCACTCAAAGCACACCAACATTCAGGAAGCAGCACTCAGGAGACATGCAGACACACGATAAGCTACAGGTGAATCATTTGCAATGCTGTACAAATCCCAAGCTGCAGCTCCTAAATGGCCAAGGACTTTCCTGCTAGTTTAAGTTCCATAAACAAATTTTCAATGAGAAGGTCTTTGACTTCAAACAAATTAATTTAAGCCTCCTAGTGACTGGAATACTACTGGGTGCAAACCCCACTCGCCTTTCTCAGCACCACTAAACTGAGCAAGCAAGATAAGAAGTTCATCTAACAACACCCATGTGAGAGGTAGGAAGGAAGTCATCCTGTGTGCAATTCTACTGGAGAAAGCCAAGCAGGTCCCTCTGAAGCATTTTTCTTTGAAGGGGCACTCTTCAGGATGCTCAGCCAAACTCCAGCTTCCAGTTTGCTGCTACCTGTGACCAAGACACCACTGGCTGTTCCTCACAGTGATTCCTTGGCCCTTACAATAGAGATCATTAATAAAATCTGCTCTTTGTACCATATATATATCTCTGCTCCTCTACATTCATAGCCACAGTACAAGAAGTAATTATTTGTTTTTAGGAATAGTTCTCCAAATACAACCCTGTCTAGCTTAGTACAGAGAAGCAGGACTACAGGAACTAGTTTAAATGCAATTTTAAGTTCTTGCACACTTCAGGCTGTGAAGAAATGCACAGCAGAAAGTATCCACGTAGAAATTGTCTGACAAGGGTGCAGGACGAGATTCCCACAGGAAAAACAGGCCTTGCTGTTTTAAAACAAACTGCAGCATAAACACAGTGTAAGTAGCAGCAATAACACATTTGGTGTTTTCCTGCCCCAGGCATGTTGCTGATATTGTAATGTCTATCTTAAAGGTCATATCTGTAAAGGTTAAGGGTATACTTAGAATTACCTCTCGTCTCTGTCTTTCCAGTGAGAGGATCTGTTGTTCCAGAGAATTGGATGCTATTGTCTTCTTTTTGGTCAGTAAGTGGTGCTTTGACTGCAGGAAAGAAAGGGTCAAAAATTAAAGCTTCTGGCATGTTCTCTTCAAGTCAAGACTATCATGTAAAGCTCCTGTACACCCTGACAGGTGCATGTGAAGAAACTGAAACAGCAACTTTTTCTTGCATTGCAGTTGTATTTCAATACCTGCTGACAGCTGATTCTGAAGTGCACATCTGCTTTAACCCTGCTTAGCCTGTGCTGTAGGTGAAGTATTATGCAAATGGACACTGAAAAACCAAAAATTATGTCTGTTTGCAACTACCTGAGACACAGAATACAAAATAGGCTTTTAATTAGCTTACAAATGGTAATATAAACAAGTAATACAAGCCACAAAAGTTGTGCATAACTTGAAGTGAGAGCAAATAATTCCTTTCATTTACACAAGCTAGAATAATTAGCAGCACTGCCCCTGGGAAATTCTTGCAGGCCCAAGGTAATGAACTTCAGCACAATGAGTTCAAAACAGGCAATAGAGAAAACAAACAGGCCATTTGGAGAAATTAGGAAATAAGTCTGCAATTGTTCCATTTTTTTAAAGTGTGGAGTTTCATCCATGCAGGGCAACAGCAGCTAAGCTCTCCTTTTTAACATGGCAGTGTCGTAGATTATAATTTCCAAGAAGTTTTTATGGCTCGTCATGAAAACAAACTTGTGATCTATTAAGGAGAACTGTACTGGGAAAAAAAGGATACATGCTTCTAAAAATAGAATATACTATGTTCAGATACCTGCTCAGAGATTTTTGTTTCCCTCCCTAAATTCTCAACCATTATATGAAAAACAAGAATCCAAGTATGAGCACTTCTGAGGTCTTTAATCTCCTGAAATAAATCTTCTTCAGCTAGAGAATTTAATGCCAAATACCAATGAAGATCAAAGAATAGTTGTGTCTTTTCACAGGCAAAACTCCTGACCACATATCTGCCCCACGGCCAGTCCTGCTGAGCTCCAATGTGGAGCCCTTGACTTCCAAACCAGAAAACACTTAATCCCTTTTCTTCAAATTCACAGACATGTTTCAGTTCAAGTATACAAAGTGACACCTGGCAGCCAGTGGAGTTATTCACATGTTGAATTTCTTTCAGCATCTGGGCCTTAGGTATATATTTAAGTGCATATTTAAGATGATTATTATTAATGTGAATAGGACAACTCACAAGTCTAAAAACTATATGTACACTTGGCACCAACTGGCCAGAATACAGCTCACAAAAGTTGTTGTGACACTAAAATCAACCTCTTTCTACCCTTTGTGTAAAAACAATTTAAAATAAGGGTTAAAAAAAAAAGCTAAGAAAGGTTTTCTAAGAATGCCATAACCAAAAATACTTCTAATATTTCATCTGCTCTTAAATCGTGCAAATCATTCAGAAAAATCAATTAGGACACGAGAAAGAGCTATAGTTGTCAACCAATAAAGTGACACACAGGATACCTGCACCAGCTCAGGCTGTTCCTGTTGATCAGAAAACACTTCAGAGAACTAAACAGTCACTTACTTCCAGTGGGTCTGCTGGGGCTTCCATGTCACTCACACCTGCCCATGTGCATCCAAGGTGGCCTTGAGCACTTGCTTCACCACATATCTTTGGAAGAAGAGCAATGAAACCGATATTTATGTTGGCTAAAGGAGCAGAAGAATTGCTTTAAGACCCAGAAGATCCCTGAGTGCTGCCTGTGGAAGCAGCCAAGGTTCAGAAATAAGTGGTGGAATTCTGATTTTAACCTTTTCTTCCTTCCTGGCTGGGGCTTCCCAGAAAGGATGAAGCACACTGCTCATGACTAATATGCCAGGCAAGGCAGCACTCTGCTTACTGTGCATGTAAATTGCCATTGACTGGGCAGTGTACCCCAGAGAGGAAGTTGCATGTCTAAGGCAAGGAAGGATATATGCTTTTTCAGTAAGTGAGAGGACAGGGTTTCTCTCCCTGCTTCCAGCTGTAAGATGGACTTATGTAAGGATGACAGTTCTTAAGTCACACTAAGACAGACTGAACTACCAGAACAGAACAATGAGTGAGTCATACTTATAAAGGAACAATAGCCAAGTCAGTTAACAGCTATGGGGAAGAGCACACACACACAAACCCCAAGATGTTTAGGGGAAAACCATAATTGGAAAATTGATTTATTTCCCTGAAGAACAGCTGCACAGAGATGAAGAATGGCAGGTGTTGCTGTTCTTCTACTAAGGACACCTTATTTGCAGTTCTACTACTTGCCTCACCTAAGCATGGATCTAGCATCCAGCTACGCAAGACTGGAGTACTCAAGGTACCCAACACTTCAAACTTGTGGTTTAGTTTCCCATTTGGAAAAAGAGGTTAACCTTACCAAGTTAAACTCACAGAAAAGATTAACAAAGAAAAGGCTTCCACAGACTTCATATACAAAGAATGGGACAGAAAAGTGCAAAACATTGTTGTCCTCAGTCTTGGAATTCTGAATAATAATGGATTTGAGAAGGAAGCATAAAAGAAAAACCATGATTCTTATTGTGGAAGGATCTCTGGGTCTTTTCAGGGGCAGCAGCGGCTGCTCATTTCACTCTCAAAGAACAGAGTGAAAGCTAGCTGTGAAATTCGACATAAAATAATTTCCAAAAAAGGATTTAGACAAAACAGAGCAATCCTGTGAAATGCTGGAGTTTACCAGCCACATTCCAGTTCTCTGGTTCACAATGTGTGACCAAGCAACTCCTCTTTTGCAAGATACAAAACCCAATTTCGAAGAAAGCTCCTATTGTACAATGTTTGCATATGAAATACACCCTCCCTGTTCTCTTTATTTTTTCCTGGTTTATGGAGCAGCTGGAAAACTGGTCCATAGAAGTATAGAGAGACAAATTAAAAATCAAGTGTTGTTTTAATGAAGATATTTTAGATTCTCCATAGGATTCATGTTGCCCATCAAAAAAATAAAAGAACTTCAGCTATACCTGTACCAAAACCAGTCTTTGGGCATGTCCCTCCCAGGTACAGCATGTAGATTATAAACTCATGGAAACTAGAGTCTGTCTTTGCCTACAAAGCACCAACACTGAGCATCTGATTCATAAAAACACAATCACAGAACCTCCACGTTGCTCGTCGGCCCTTGAGGGCAATGACTCTCAAGCACAAACACCTTCCTTAACCACATCTCCTGTGGTCACCAGTCTCATCCCCAATCCAGCAGCATCCATGCTCTGGATGAAAGCTTAGATTGAACAGCTGCATGTTAGGTCTGGCCTGCTAAGGTAAACCAGCCCCAGTTTCCAATTTCCTCACACCAGCACACTGTGATGTACACAAGGTGCTGAGCACAGTCCATGCAGTGGGGACAGAGAAGCAAACCCAGGGCACACCCTGCTCATGGATCACAGCTCCCACTTCAAGGCTGCAATGCTGAAATTACTTAGAAGAGAGGATGAGGCTAAGGCCTTGGAGTACACACAGTTGATACTGTTATTTAGGTCACAACGGTTTCCTGAAAAGCTGAGCTGTTTCCTGGACAGCTAGGTGGACATGAGGCCACCAAGTCCTTTGTTGCTGGTTTCTCAATGTGTGTATTCATGACTACTGAATGTGAATGATTGTACATCAAATATGGCAGAATAGAAATTACATCAAGCACTTTTCAATGCCTAGCTAGGCAAGCTTAGCATCCATATGGGTAACTGATTGCCATGTAAGAACAGTATGGGGTATTGGAAAGAGAAGGGTATGTCTGAAATCTACATGAATAGAAGAAATGCCAACGAGCAGGGAACAAAAGTTCAAGCTCTTCAGAGGTGGTGGCATTCTTCCAGGGAAAACTGGGAGAGGTTGAAACAAAATCATTGTCTGTCTCTGTGAAGACAGTTAGCAGCACTGAAAACAAAGGCAAGGACACAACAACAGTCATTTCCTTTGGTACTGCAGAGAAAAAAGACACTGCATTTGTCTATGTCTACTGCTACGGAATCAAGAACAACTTAGTTGTACAACAGCACTTCAGCAACCTGAGATACATAAAAGTCCATGAAAGAAGGGCTCTTTGACAACTATCACACTTCAGAAGTCAAAAAGACAAAAATATTTTAAGGCATTTAGGGTTGGTTTGAAGCTATTGAACCAAATACAGTTTTAAATAGCTTGGAGAATTCTAGGTGATGAACAAACTGTAAACACAGTTGCAAACCTAACAAACTGCCAGGTATAGATAAAGCTTCCCAGGAGGCAAATGGGACCAGGCAGGATTTGCTGCTCCTCTGAAACTGACTGAGTTGACTCACAAGTGGCAGTATACAGCCAAGCAAGGGCAAAGTGAGCTGCGCTGCTTAGAAGCCTTTAATTAATTTCTACTCTATTTCTATGGTATTCTGCAGTTTCTATCAGCAGCGGCTTTGAGATTGGGGTGTTTTTTTAATGCCCTGTTTAAAAATGAGAAACCTTTTAGTTTGCGTTCTAGAAAGACCTGAGCTTTCACAGTGTAAAAGCCTTTTAGTCATCTTTGGGAAGGTTGCAATGTTAAAAAAGCCTTGGAGCTGTAGCCCACACTGAATCCTCTCACAAGCATTGGCACCACAAGAAGATGAAAGTTCTCAGAGTGCTGGATCTGAATTCTGGGAATGGCTTCTGTTAGAGCATTACAAAATAGCACTCAGAAATTAAGATAATGAAACCCATTTGTCACTTCTCAAAATTCTGTCTGTGCAGTATCTGCAGTGAAACCAAGAACCATTAAAAGAACTGATGCAAGTAACTGCGACCCTTTCCTTGATGATGACAAAATGGTAAAGTCATCTTTTTCTTTGTTTTTTCCTAGCTGACCATATACCTGCTGTGACATTTGTTGGGGATTTTTTTCCTGCACTTTTTATTTTTTATTTATTGTACTGTTCAGCTGCAGAATTGTAGATGCTACATTTACTCTGAGATTACTTGGGTTGAAATTTGGTGGCTTCTGCAGAACCTTCTGTTCACTTACATTTTGGTTGAGCTTTGGTTCTGACTTTATTCCTGAAGCTGATGTTATGCCAGCAGTGCTTGCTACAATATCCACTGCAACCCTTTTCCAATCTTGGTGCACATGGTGAAATGGTAAAAAATTGAGAGATTTCAGTTGAAGAATGAAATCAACTCTTAAACCAGAAGAAGAATCAACCTCTTCCTGTCTCAGCCTGGTCCATGTGCTTCACCACAGAAGTGTGCTAGAAAAGGATTTTCCCTTCTGTATATCAGCCTCAGCCTTTTGTGCTGTGCAGTTAAGTACTTGCTCTGAGAAAAAAAAAATGTGCAGATGCAAATGTGTGCCTTAATATGTGGGAACCAGATAAAATTAGAGCAAGATGTGGTTTCAGAGTCAGTAAAACACAGCACAGGCTTCTGCTTCAGTGTCCTTTATCCACTTCTTTCCATCAGTGCCAACGAGGCTAACCATGAGGACATGGCTACTCAGGTACCTAATATTTGCCAACTCAGGCCTGATGATGAAAATCCCAGTTTGATGGAACAATAATTGGAGGATGATCTGTAACTGTAGCAAACAGGCTGCTTTGTGTTGTACAACACAGTTGTTGCAAGTACAGATAGCCCTTAAATGAGTGGGGGAATAGATAAGTAAACATGAATTGGAAATCATCAGTTGTTCTCAGCACTAAAAGATTTCAACGTATGTTTCTCTTGGTCAATGGCTGTAGTAAGAGTTAACACATTTCATTGAACTGAGAAGAGCTTAAATCAGTGTAAAATAATGCTGCCACCCTGTGACCTGCCGGTAAGGACATTTCCTTGCCATGGCCTCCCTCTTTCCCCTCTCCCCAGAGCAGGGAAAACTGCATCATGACAAGCTTCATTTAAAGTACTACAGATAAATGTATCATAGGCTGAAGGATGTGCTGAGAAAGGTAAAACGCAGGTTTGCAGAATGAACTCATTCTCAAATATCTGCATTAAAAAACACACTGATATCATACATTTTTTATGGAAAAAGTCCTGGTGAAAAAGGGAATTTGTTTACAGACATTTTCAGATAACACTTGAGAATGATTTAAGCTCAGATGGAAATGCCATTTTGCCCAGTGCAATTTGTACTCTTCACTCCAGAAAAAAAGTTACAGAATGAAAATGAGTTGCTGACTCTGCCAAGTAACTTCTTGGTGAATGACCAACACCATAGGGAAGGGTAACATTTTCTTTCCATTATTAGCTTTTTCCTAACTCCTAAATATTTAATTTTCCCCTAATTTTAAGTCTAAATCAGCATCTAATTTCACAAACTGATATTTTCTGGTAACCTTCACAATTGAAAGTCTACTAGGTGTTAAAAATATGACCTCCTTTTCCAAAACCGAGACATGTACTCCTAGCATTCTATACTGAGGGTGTTGAAGCTCATCACAACTGTCAAGCTGTCACTCACTTAAGCCCAGCTCAGTAACCAGCCAAGTGAAAAGCTGTTTGGCTTAAAGTTAAAATCAAAAATACCCAGCATGTTTCTAGTGCAGAAATATCATAAACCTTCTTCCTTTAAGCCATGGAAACCACAGACACATACCTTTCACAGGCAAAGCAGTGCTATAAATGCAAAGTGCCCAAAAGCATGAGAGGTTAAATACTGCCGTGGTATAGTGTGAGGCACTGAAAGAGCCCACAGGGAGAGCTGAGGTAAGCACATCCCTCAAATCCATTCCTACATCGCCTGCTGCTGGAGGGAGCCTAACGTGGGAACCAGGGGTTTCCACAGATCATCCGTGGCTTGTAATTTCAAAGCTCAGTGCTACCTGAGCCTGCGCTGATTTCTGTTTCACCACGATCTTTCCTCCCCCGTGGTGGGAATCCCCATCCCTGCCTGTGGCTTCTCCCTCGCTGTTTCTAATCCCACTGGTCTGACCACTGGGTGTCTCCTTAGGCTCAGCTCAACTTCTTGCCCCAAGGTCATGAGTCATTTAGGAGATGGCGGTTTACATGTGAAAGGAGCTATGTGTAATTTTGGATCTCACAGAAGAGTCATCTCCCTTTTACCTGCTCACCAATTTCCTGCACGGTGCCTCAGGGCACAGCCTTCAGAGCTTTCCTCCTTGCCCCTGTGCCGTGGTGGAGTCACATAGGCAGGTCAGTGTGTCATCCCTTGCAGGTGGGTGGCACTCATGGCTTAATCTCTGCTCTGCACCTCTCCCTCCTCCTGCTCCCAGTTTGCAGGAAACAGGGAAATTCGTTTTATACTCCTACCACACTCACTATTTCAGGGGAGAGGAGTGAAACTGAGAGGGAAACCTAGAACAAGTTTCTGTCAAGCTTGTTAACCACTGCTTCAGTGCAAGCAAAGACAACTGACTTAGCAGGTGGCTTACAATTTTCTGCCTGAAATACCACAGAAGTGTGGGTTTGAATCATCATCATCTTCCTTCTGTCTTCCTACTAATCTAAAAGCCTTGCTGACACTCCTGAAGGTCTTTGTCCCCCACACCTCTGCTCATTCTCAGTTAAATCAGAACTACCAAGAGCAACAACCTAAAGAAATGACAGTGGTTTGGGGTTATATAGTTTTGAGGGCTCTGTGTTATCCAAAAGGCACAGCTGAATACAAAGGGTAGCACTTTGGATAATCAGTGGGTTTAGCTGACCTTTTAAAGCACTATATAACATACTTGCTCAGTCAATTTTCCTCATAACAGAAAGTAGTTGTATCAGGAAAAAAAAAGTGTAGCAAGTTCATTGCATCATTTCAGAAATCCAAAAGTTTCGCGCATAATCAAGTCACCCAGGGAACATCCCCTGAATGCTCTTTCCTGGCAGACAAACATTGCAAAAGCACACTGCGTTTACCTTAGGGGAACATGGAGTTCTCTGAGGGTTTGAACTCTCTTGGGCAACAGGCTTGGGGTCCTCACATGACTGAGAAGTGTTATTCTTTCCTATCAGGTTCCTTATTTCAACATCAAGCTCTTTACTTTCACACCTGCTTGGAAAGAAAAGGTAATGTTAAACTTGACACCAAAACTTGAAGCAAAGAGAAGGTGAATTTGTTAGCTCTCTGTGAGAATGCAGACAGCAGAGCTGGTCCTGCACCAAGCTCCTGTTCCTTTCCTTCCTGCTACGCAAGCAGAAAGCAGTGTCACGCAGGCAGTCTCTGAGTGCTCGGTGGCAGAAATTCATTTAGAATGTGTACACAAGCAGTCTGTGTGAGTTTTACTACATTGCCTCTGCAAAATCCAAATGGACCCTTCGGGGATTACTTGAAGACTGCCACGTGCCTTCAACCTCACCCATTCACATGCAGTTTCAAGAATTTCCAATTCAACTCCAACAAAAAAATGCAATCAAAAGAGTGAAATTGGTTTGTAACTGCAAAACCAGATGTTCAGCTCACAAAACTTTTGATGGCACATTTTGTTTTCTGTACCACTCTGTAATAGATATCAGACATGCATTTTAAACTGTTTTTTCCTTAAAGGTTCCTTTTTAAAATATTCATATCTTGTAAAAATTGGTCTGTTGTAAGCATTTAAAATTATATTGGTTTAGTGGGGAAATTGTTTTCTTTCAGTTTCTCTTCTAAGGACATACAAGACTTAGGTCCACGTTAGGGCTTGCTCCAAATTCACAGAACTGACAAGCAACGAAGGCTGATTCACTTGATCACTGCAGTGGTGGAATGTGACTTTCAGAGGATGAACTGAGGCACAATTAAAATGAACTCCTAAATGTCCTAAGTCAACCCAAGTTATCAAGAAATATTCATCTCTTTTGCAAGCTCAGCCCTTCATTTCCTAATCAGCTTAAACCAACTCCAAATATAAGTGATGCATGACCTGAAAGCAAACTACAAGGCTCAAAATTATCACCAACCTGTTACAGCAAGATGACTGCTTCCTTTAGGCAGAAAATGCTAAATTCCTCATTTGAACTACCAGAAAACCTGAGAGCAGTAAGAATTTACCAGTTACACTTCTTACAGTTTAGACAGGCAGTCCACAGGGATTTTGCTGCGAGTTCTGAGGGAACTCCTGAGGCGAAATTGATAAAATTATTCACAAAACAAACCTATCTATCCTAATCACCAGAGCAAGTGTGATGAATTTTACGCTGACAGCAGAGAATGATTCATTTTATTCTCAGTATTTAAAATACAGAGACTACAACAGAAATGTATTTTCATTCAGCATGGATGTAAATCCATGTAGAGGTGCTACAATACCAACAGTAGCAAATAAGGACTAGTAAAAGGACTAGCGGGTTTTATTTGTCACCTAGTATTGGGAAAGCTGGAATTTCATGGCCATAACTCCCTTTCAAAGCCCTGAGGATTAAGACAAAGACCTTGATGCACATTTCCATGAGCTCCATGGCAGCACATCAGGCTGCAGCTGCTCTGGGGGCTCGTGGCATTTCTCAAAGCCACAGCTGCGCGTGGGTGGCAGGTGAGCCCCAGCAGTGCGGGCACCGCGTGGCAGCTTGTGAAGAAAACTACAGAGGGAAAACAACAAACCTTGCAAAAAAAAATCCAGCCCTTTTCTATCTTGCTAAATATTGCAAAATCCTGGATAAACCACAAGTGGCACTTTTTTAAAGCAATTCTGTGCTGAGGTTCCCAGGCCTTAGGCAGCAGTGAGACCAAGCACTCTGCACTCTCAAGGTCACTTCACTGGAAAACAGCATCTTGAACTCATGCCTGACCCAGTTAGAGTAATAGAATTGTAACAGAATTGGATGTACACCATGCAGAGCCCTCGATGCTCTTGAGGCTGCTCAGAAGAACTGAAAAGCCACAGCACGGAAGCAGTCACTCCACTGAAATCCACCATCCCCAACTGCCAGCACAACCCACTCACTCAGCCTGGTCAAAGCAGCCAGTGGTTCTTAAACTCTTCGAAGCAGCTTAGCCTAAGAACAGCCACTCAAAATACAGGAGCAATGTCTAGGTGCTGTCCTGAGAACAGCAAGAGATGGGCAGCAATCTGGCAGGAGTGCAGCAGCAAGTATTTAGGTTGGCTGCATTCACCTCTGCTGCTAGGCTCAGCCACAGCGAGCAGAGATGGGTGACCACAAGCTCCTGAGATCAGAGAGTGAATCAAGTGAGAAATACCTCATAGAGGTGGTGGGTTGGCTTTAAATATTTCTGTTTAGCCAGGAGATGTTCAATCCTCTGCTCTGCTCCCCACAGTTTGTCTGATGTTGTGGCTGTAAATGACATTCACCTCTGGTCACTCCTACCCTGTCTCTCTGCATTCTCCTTTCTGCACTTAGGAGTGCGTGGGCAAGAGCAGGACCCAGCTGTGCCTGGGTGACAGAAAGGGGACTACAAAAGACTAAAATCCCTATAAAATGATTGCTAGACTGTAATATACATGTGTTTCAGGATCTGCACAAAAATCAGGAAGCTACTTCATCGCCCAAATTTTTTGGTGCATTTGGCTTTCCTTCAGTTTTTAAACTGAGAAACTGCTATTCATTTATCTGCATTTTAATACTAGCCACTTTGATAATTGCAAGGATACATTTATTGGGAGGTAAAACATTAATCATACCTGGTGCATAGATCCATTTTTTGATCCATTTTCAGAGCACACAGAATCTCTGAGTGCCTGAATACACCTTCAGGCACTCATGCCTAGGAGCTACCTCAGAGCAAGACAGCTCTTGCTGATTAAGAGTTTCCCCCTCTAGAGGGCACACAGCATTTAGGTTCTGCAGAAACCAGGATTTTCACAACTACTTTTGGTTTTGTGAAGTTCACAGTGACACAAATGTAGCATTAAAACCTCCTCTGTTCTGTGCTATTACCAGCGTTTTCTAAAATTAGGTATTTCCGAGTTTAATAATTAAATTATACAAATAGATAATGTGTTAGGGGGGGAAAAAAAGCCCAAACAGAAAATGAAATACATTCAAATTTGGGAGATAGGGTTTTTTTTTGTTTTGTAAAATCAACCATCAGAGAATATCAAAAGCATTTCCATGTGGTTATATGGGACAAAGTATATCCTTTCTATGTGCTAAAGCTTCCAAAAGGATATGGAGACATAAAATCTACACAACTCTTCCTACTTACATAGCATGCTGTGATTAATGCATGAGTCAATAGAAGATTAGAGTATTAACTCCTTTTTGTAATCTTTCAGTTAGTTGCTAAATTTCCTTTTTTTTTGGGGGGGGGGGAAATTAAGACATATTACATGGAAGCAAAACCTCAGGTATATTGAAGGAGGTTGGTCTCCCAGCATAGGTTTTAGCAGCTTGCAGGAGAAGGAAAGAACCCAATCTTACTCATGATTTCCACATCATATCTGAAAAGTAGTAGTCACTATCCTTCTAGCCGTGTCCTCCAAGATTAAGAAATCAGGTCTGTTCTCTTTGGTTAGCAAGTTGCCTATCCATGCAGAACTTCACTGTGCATCCCATTACAGGTGTTTCCATTTCTCCCACATGTTCACCTAGCTGTCTTCAAAATGGTTTTCACTTTTTGCTCTGTGGTACATCTTTGGGCCACTTCAATTTCTAGCCTGTTTGTTTATAATTATTGATACTACTTATAATATTGTAATATGGTAGAATCATAGAATCAAGCAGGTTGGAAAAGACCTCCAAGATCATTGAGTCCAACCCTACCGTGGTGACTAGACCATGGCACTAAGTGCCACATCCAGTCTCAGCTTGAAAACCTCCAGGGATGGTGAATCCACCACCTCCCTGGGCAGCACATTCCAATGTCTGAGCACTCTCTCTGTAAAAAATCTCTTCCTAATATCCAACCTAAACCTCCCCTGGCAGAGCTTGAGTCTGTGCCCTCTTGTCCTGCTGCTGGTTGCCTGGGAGAAGAGACCAACCCCCACCTGACTCCAACCTCCTGTCAGGGAGTGGTAGAGGGTGATAAGGTCTCCCCTGAGCCTCCTCTTCTCCAGGCTGAACACCCCCAGCTCCCTCAGCCTCTCCTCATAGCACTTGTGCTCGAGTCCCTTCACCAGCCTCATTGCTCTTCTCTGGACCTGCTCCAGCACCTCAATGTCCCTCCTGAGCTGAGGGGCCCAGAACTGAGCACAGGGTTCAAGGTGTGGCCTCACCAGCACCGAGTCCAGGGGCAGAATCACCTCCCTGGTCCTGCTGCCTACGCTGTTCCTGATCCAGGCCAGGATGCCATTGGCCTTCTTGGCCACCTGAGCACACTGCTGGCTCATGTTCAGCTTCCTTTCTATCCATATCTGTATAATGCTGTAAATAATAATATTTCAATAACATAACAATAACTTCAATATTTATTTATAAACGGTGGCATAATTTAAAGTAATTCCCTTTTTAAGCTGGGAGCTAGAACATGGTCAGCCATGTACTTTGGGTTTGTGGCAACACAGATTGAAGCCCAAGAAATACTAAATTTATCAAACAACCAGGTACATGCTCCATAAGAGTCCTAGCTCTGCAGCTGGTACCACCCGTGAGCTCTTGGCTGTCCTGGGTTTCCACTGGAAACTGGCATTATTCCTTCCTCCTAGCAGTTACATGTCAACAATGCACATACCTACAACACTTCCCAAGGCATATAACACAATATGAATACCCAAGGCACGTAATTCTATTGGAAACATTAATTCCAAGGCTGGTGTGCCAGGGTCATTCTCTTGTCATTAGGGAAAGCACAAACACAGACCATAAACAATCATGGAAAAAGGTTTTAGGCCAGGATTTACAGCCAGACGCCAACACCACGGAGTCCTATTTTGACAGGAAATGAATTCCAGAATCTAAGGGTTAAACACATGCTTCATCCCCTTGGGTGGGCATTTGGATGTAGGGCTCTTGCTTGGCTAAGCCTAAGGAGCAGATTCATGGAAAGAAATATATTGAATTATGGAGGATGAACTGGTTCAGATAAATTTAAAAAGGTGGCAAATTTCAAGACAAACAATTTCAGTTAAGATTTCTCCTTTTCCTGATAATACACTGTAGAATATGGGAAATAAT